CAAGACTGGAGCAGCGATGGAACAAGGCAGCGGAAATTGGAGCAAGAGTGGAGCAGCGAGGGAACAAGGCAGGGGTAACTGGATGAGTATTGCAGCTGCGCTGGAACAAGACGGGTAACTGGAGCAAGAGAACGGAAAGTGGAACAAGACTGGAGCTAAGCTGGAAAAAGACAGAGGAAATTGGATCAGGACTGGAGCAGCACTGGAGCAAGGCAGAGATAACTGGAGAAAGACTGGAGAAATAGTGGAAAAGACAACGGAAATTGGAGCAAGAATGGAGCAGATCTGGAACAAGGCAGGGAGAACTGGATCAGGACTGGAGAAGCGAGGGAACAAAGGCAGGGGTAACTGAATCAAGACTGGAGCAGCGCTGGAACAAGGCAGCGGAAATTGGAGCAATAATGGAGCAGCACAGGAACAAGGCAGGGAGAACTGCATCAGGTATGGAGCAGTGATGGAACAAGACAGCGGAAATTGGAGCAAGACTGGAGCAGTGATGGAACAAGACAGCGGAAATTGGAGCAAGACTGGAGCAGCGAGGGAACAAGGCAGGGGCAACAGGATCAGAATTGGAGCAGTAATGGAACAAGGCAGGGATAACTGGATCAGAACTGGAGCAGAGAGCGTACAAGGCAGGGGTAACTGGATCAGGAATGGGGCTGCGTTGGAACGAGACAGGGGTAATTGGATCAGGACTGGAGCAGCGCTGGGATAAGGCAGGGGTAACTGGATCAGGACTGGAGCAGCACTGGAACAAGGCAGTGGAAATTGGAGCAAGACTGGAGCAGCAATGGAACAAGGCAGGGATAACTGTATCAGAACTGGAGCAACGAGGGAACAAGGCAGCGGAAATTGGAGCAAGACTGGAGCAGCGCGGGAACAAGGCAGGGGTAACTGTATCAGAACTGGAGCAACGAGGGAACAAGGCAGCGGAAATTGGATCAGGACTGGAGCAGCGAGGGAACAAGGCAGAGGCAACTGGATCAGAACTGGAGCAGCGAGCGAACAAGGCAGCGGATATTGGAGCATGACTGGAGCAGCGATGAAACAAGACCGCGGAAATTGGAGCAAGACTGGAGTAGTGATGGAACAAGGCAGGTGTAACTGGATCAGGAATTGAGCTGCATTGGAAAAGGGCAGGGATAACTGGAGCAAGACTGGAGCAGCGAGGGAACAAGGCAGCGGAAATTGGAGCAAGAGTGGCGCAGCACTGGAACAAGGCAGGGAGAACTGGATCAGGACTGGAGCAGCGAGGGAACAAGGCAGGGGTAACTGGATGAAGACTGGAGTAGTGATGGAACAAGGCAGAGATAACTTCAAGACTGGAGCAGCACTGGAACAAGGCAGGGGTAACGGGATCAGGACTTTGAGAACAGTGGCGCAAGGCTGGGGG